GGAGAAAAAGGGACCCTTGTACACTGATGGTTGGAATTTAAATTGGTGCAGCGACTGTGGAAAATGGTATGGAGGTTTCTCAAAAAATTAGAAGTAGAAATACCGTATGATGCAATAATTCCACTACTGGGCATTTATTTACCCAAAGAAAGCCAAAATATGAATTCAAAAAGATACATGCACTCCTATGTTTCCTGCAGCATTATTTACAATAGCCAACATAGGGGAGCAACCTAGGACTTCACCGATAGATGAATGGATAAGGAAGATGTGGGTGGAATATGATACAGCCATTAAAAAGGATGAGCTCATGAGATTTGTGACAACATAAATGGACCCAGAGGGTAGTATGTCAAGTGAAATAATTCAGATTGAGAAAGACAAAACCATTTCATTTCACTCATATGTAGAATGTAAAAAAAAAAAAATTCCAAATGAATAAACAAATAAAAAGCAGAATCAGACTTATAAACGGAAAAATGAATTATAACTAATCCATTAGGGCATTTGGGACATTAAAAATCTCTGACTGCTAATCTGAATGTTTTTTTCACATTAATTGAATGTAATAGTTGATGTGTTTGGGTTTTGTGCTTTTCTTTGCCTCACTTGGTCTTTACCTAGTCCTTTAAAAATCCTTTCTACTCATTTTATAGTCCATAATTTTTTTCTAGTTTGGAAAGCATATTCTTTGATTTTACTTCTTCTTTTAAGCTAAAAATTATAAATCTTATCTTAACATACTGGTGCACAGAGTTATAAATACATTTACCTTCCTCCCGGGCAATATAGGGAACTTAGAATATTCATCCCTTTGTCCCATTTTGAGTACTATGATTTATTTTTAAAGATTTTATTTACCCATTTGAGACAGAGAGAAAGAGAACACAAGCGGGGAGGGATGGGTCTGAGTTAGAGGGAGAAGCAGGTTCTCTGCCAAGCAGGAAACCTGATATGGGGCTCAATCCCAGGGCCCTGAGATCATGACCTGAGCTGAAGGCAGACGCTTAACCGACTGAGCCACCCAGGCGCCCCAAGTACTAAGATTTTTAGGGTATGCATGGTAATGCCTTTGTTCTAACTCCACAGGAGATAATATTCACATTTGATACAGAGAATGCACTATTAGAGGAAGCCACAGACCACATGCCTTTCTCAGAACCTCACCACATGTCCCTGAACCACAGGTTATACTGGGAGTGAGAGGTGACAAGTAACCTATTTTGTTATAGTCTCCTGGGATTAGGTTAGGTTATGAGCATGAGTACTAAGACTGAGATTGAGGCAGTGACTGGATAGGGTTTGGGGGCTGTCACATAAAATAGAGGCAATGAGTGTTGAATGCACAAAGGAATAAAAAATGCGTATTTGGTTACCAAATTGGTGGATTGTCTTGAAACTCGTGATACGCTCATCCATCTCTCTTTTTAAAAAGGGTTTATTTATTCATTTGAAAGAGAGAGAGAAAGAGTGAGATTCGGGGGAGGGCCAGAGGGAAAGGTAGAATCTCCAGCAGACTCCAGGCTGAGTGCAAGCCTGACACAGGGCTCGACCTCACAGCCCCTGAGACCATGACCCGAGCCGAAATCAAGAGTGAGATGCTTAACTGACTGAGCCACCCGGGCACCCTCAGCAATCTCTTTTCCTCCTTCTGTAAACCCTGCTTCCCCTCCCTTTAATTTGGACCACGTAAATGAGTTTGGGGGCAATGAAAAATGCACAGAAGGGACCGTGAGATTATGTCTTCATTATGTCTTTATGTCGTGCCTCTTTCTGGTACGGCCTCCTTGGGCCTTGGTTTCCAGTTCTCCAGGAATCAGTGGTCCCTGGTGGGCTGCATGCTCGGGTGGTGGACTGACGGAGCCTTGATGAGGACAAGGCCTGGTAACCTCCAGCTGATGGACCTCAAGGGGGATGTCTCGTGATCAGATATTTGAACCTGGATTTGGCTGTTCTGAAGGCCACAGGACAGTCAGGAGAGGGGCAAGTGTTGGTTCCTGTGACAAAGATACAGGACCTTGACCAACCTCTCCTTGACCAACCTCTACTTAGGCTCTTCTGAATTCTCTTCTCAACAAAGCCCTGACATTCAGACTTCCATGTTCCTGTCTGCGTTGCAGCAAGAATCCCTAAGTCAGTTTGACCAGAACTACCCTCCGTATCTGATCACTGGTGATATCTGATCGGGTCCCTCATTCCCCAACACCCCCTACCTGACAGGTGATGATTCCAGTGGGCCTTCAGCAAGAATCCTGTTAGGTTTAGCCAGAACCTCTCTTACCCCTCATGTCTTCTCTTAGTAATTTCCCATCCCCAAACCCCCACCTGTTCCTTGGCTATAAATTCCCACTTTTCTTTGTTCGACCTGGATCTCAATCCCCCTCTCTCACTATAAGCTCCTATGGCAGTGGTCCCTATACCTAGCACAATAGGGCCTGAGAATTGAGTCTGCCTTATCATTCCTCAGCAAGTGTCTTCAATAATTTTTTCTTCAATGCCTAAGAATTAGACATGAGTGATGACATGACACCCTGTGTAATGAACTTGACACCGTGTCATTTCCATGAAGTCCACTCAAGCCTGAGGTGCTAACATCAAACCCTGATGTTCTCCAACGTTGAATCATGTGGCCCGTAAGAAGCCGTCCCTTACACAATAGGCCTACCTCTTGTTTATGAAACTCTCCTGCGTGATGTATTTTTTTCTGATGTATTTTAAATAATAAAATAGCCAAATGGTAAAAAGGGTGCTTTCATGTAAACATTATCACCATCACCCATGCCGTTTTTTGCTGAATTAGAGAATCATTATTTTGACAAATATCCCACTTATCCTGTAGAGAGCTGTCTCTGATTCGCCCTCTCACTGTGGGACTTGGGATGACAATGTTGTTGCTGCTGCTGCTGGCTCTTAACTACGTAGCAGTAAACACGTGTGGGCCCTGTTACGTACCAAGAGACAGATACAAAAACACACGCACGCGCCAGCGCGAGACTGGCCCCACCTGCAGAACTTCCGAGTCCCTAGGTTTGCGTTGTAGCCCAAGACCTTGCATTTTTAACAAATGGTGCTTCTGCTGGTTTGAGGAGCACTGAATTAGAGCTACGTTCACTATGACTACACAGACCCCGCAGATCAGGTGTTGAGTTTTCATTAGTCAGTGTGAACCTGGGTCCTCCGGAAGGTCTTAAAGTTTAAGGGCCTACTTAGCCAGAGCGACTCCATGTCAGTGAAACAGCCATTTTGTTGTTTGTGCAGTGAAACTTACACTGACCCTGTCCGTGTCCCCTCCCCACCCCAGAGGAACTTACTTAGAAGCAAGTCTGGGAAACCAGTAAACTATGGTTGACCAGTCCCTGATAACAGAGCCCAAACACAAGGTCGGGTCAGGTCAGGGGGAGAAAACAGAGCCCAGAATACAAGGACGAGTCAGGCCAGGTGGAGACATCCTATCCGTAAAGCGCACAGACTATCTCCCTAACCACCAAAGAATGTAAACCCCGCCTTTTGGGCGCCAAATTTGGGCGCCAATTCTGACCAGAGTGATAGGTTCGTTCAAACAGCTACAATAGGGTAAATTGTAATTCAATTGCACACCTGCATGTGACCTAACATGACTCTGCAACTTTCCCTGTGTGTTACAATCTCATTGGCCAGGCTCAACCACATGGCCTTTGCTCTATAAAAGCTAGTCTGTGAGGCTGGGGGTGGTCGGTCTCTCCCTAAGAGACTCCCTGCTGGAAGCTTTCATCTTCAGTGCTGGTACCAAATAAAGCTTTGCTTGACCTTCGCTTTTTATCAGTCTGGCTGATACAAAAAGTTATAAATACCTTTACCTTCTTCTTGGGCAATACAGGGAACTTGGAATAGTCATCACTTTGTCCCATTTTGAGTACAAAATTTTGATCACCGACCATTTTGATCACCATTCCGGACGCATCAAAAGGTGGAGCACTCACCTGCACCCACGCACAAATTGGTCTCCCGTCAGAGTCCCCTAAGGGCGACTGGGACTTGGCTCCAGACAGAGCAGTCTGGGGATGGCCAGTGAAGAGGATAAAGTTGCGAGACCCCCCAACATCCGAGAACCAGCAGGAACCAGGGAGAAGCAGGAAAGCTGCCCACGCACCGCCCCTCCGCGGTGTCCTCTCCCACCTAACACCGCCCCTGCCCGGGCGCAGCTTCTCAAGCACCGCCCACTCCCACCGTCCCCAACACAGCCACCCCCGCACTACCATCCAGCTCCTCGCAGCCCGCACCGGCCCCAAAACGTCCCGCCCCGCCCCCTCCACCTCCCGCACCACCACCCAACACCGCCCCCTCGCACCGTCCTCCCAGCTCCGCGTTCCCGGGACCACCTCCTATCACCCCGCCGACACCACCACCCAGCGTCCCCGCCCAGGACCCTCCCCCAGACGCATCGCTACCCTGCGCCACCGACCCAGCACCACCTCCTAGAACTGTACCCCCCACCACCGTCCAGCACGGCCCTCTCGGACCGCGCTCCCAGCACAACTACTTAACCCCGACGCCCCCCAGAACCGCTCACTGAACACCTCCCCCACCACCGCACCACCACCCCGCAACCTCCCAGCACCGCCTCCCAGTACCGGCCCCAGCACCCACCCCAATAAGCACCGCCCCCCCAGTACACCACGTTGCACCGCCCACCAGCACGGCAGGGGGCGGGACCGGAAACTTGGTCCAAGGACACTAAACCTAGAATCCGCCTCTGGCGCCGAGCCAATGACTGGCGGGTGGTTGTGCGCCGGTCCCGGCCGGAACTTCCTGAGTTCCAGGCCAGCCAGCCTGGCCGGGGAAGGGGGTCGAGCGCCCGTGTCACCCGGCCTTTCCAGAGCTAGGGGGCCGAGACCGGGGTGCTGGGCCCCTGCTCCGCCCGGCACCCCAGAGACGCGGATCCGCCAGGTCCGCCCGCGCCTCGCGTCGCACGCCGGCATCAGCCGGGAGCCCCAGGCCAGCCGTGCCCCGGGTCAGGCGAAGCTGACCGGTCTCCGCCGACTCCGCTGCGAGCCCCGGCACGGATGGCGGCATTGGGCGCTGACCCGTCTCCGGCGGCTCCGCTGCGAGCCGGGGCAGCGATGGTGGTGGCGGCGGCGCTCAGGGCCCCGGCACAGGTGAGTGCACAGGTAGCCGCCGCGACCCCCACGCCCTTGTGCCTGGCGCCGGGACCGCGGAGGTGGCCTTGTCTGTCTCTATCCTCTCCCATTTCTCCTCGGCTTTTGAGTCTGGGGGCGCTGGAGGGGAGCTACGCCCAGCCTGGGGTGCTGGATGCAGGCCGGAGGTGGTACCTCCAGAGCGCTTCGCATTTCCGAAATCTAGTGGCAGGAGGCGAGGAGAGGTTTCCTAGACACAGGCACCGGCGTGCGCAAAAGCTTGGCGGAGAGATTGAGCTGAGTGTTTGGAGAGCAGGTGGGAGACGGTGGGGCCCGGAATGGCGGGTTGAAGAGCTGTTCTGAGGGTGTTGGGAGCCACAGACGGTTTCGAGTAGAAGAGGGAGGTGATCTGACTTGGGTCTTGACGGGCTCCCTGTGGACGCAGAGTGGAAAACGGACTTGGGGATAGGGTGGAGACAGGGAGGGCAAGGAGCGCGTTATTGGAGTAGCTCAGTTGAGTAGTGCAGGTGGCTGGAGGCAGAAGTGATTGGATTCTGGATCCCTCTTTCCAGTCAGGCCGACCAGATTTTCCGATGTGGAAAGTGAAAAAGAGAAGGGATGGTTTTTGGCTGCAGCAGCTGGAAGGATGGATGCGCCATCAACTGAGATGGGGAAGTTGGTTCTAGAAGGAATTTTCAATAGAAGAACAGAAGTGAGATTTTGGCCCCGCTGAGCTCTGATGTCCCAGAGACCCCAGAATGGAGTCGGGTGGGCAGCTAGACAGGGGATCTGGTGTGTGAGGGTGGTATAGTTCAGGTCAGGAGAGGCCTAGTACACAAAGGGACAAAGGCCAGACCATATATAAAAATAGAATTCTTACCCACAACCTGCAGGGACCTGCCCAGGAAACCAGCCTCTTTATCTACAACCAACAACAACCCAGGACTCTAGCCCGCTTAAATTAGACTCGCGGGAAGCAAGATTGCTATCTCTAGTGACAATCCAGAAACAGTACCCTTCTGTAACAACCCGCCCCACACGACCAGGGCGGGATTAATAACTGCCAGCTTCTCTAATTTTTGTTCCTACTTCCAGTCTGGGACCAAGGAGAGAAAACCAAACAGGCAGGCCTAACCAGTCACATAGGATGTCCTGCATCGAGTTAGGCTGCCTACAGCCTCTCCTGGCCAGCAGGCCCCCAGTCAGGGCACATGCGAAGCCTTCCCTTTCCCGCTGAAAGCTTTCCCACTCCTCTGCCTGCCTTTGAGTCTGCCAAAACATGAGCGACAGGGACTCTCTCCCTTCCTATCGCAAGCTCAGTATCAGTAGCCTTTGCTCTTCTTACTCGGTTAGTCTTTCCACAGTTAAAATAACTAAAATGTGGTATCTGGTGCATGGACAAGAGTGCGGTTGTGTGTCCAGTTCAAGAGGGAGAACCTTCAGGTCATGGTGGCAGTGGTGTTAGAGGGAAAGAGGAAGGCGGGGCCTCTGATCTGAGAACGGGGTCTCTTGCTGGGACACCGTGGTTGGCTTGTTGGGTGTCATCCAGAAAGACATGGAGGAGTAGTTGTCCGGGTGTGGGGGGTGGGCAAGGGGGTCTGGCAGGTGGTGTAGATAGGGAGGGGTGGGTAGGCTCAGTTGTAATGAAGGTAGTATTACAGCGAGCCCTGGGCTGGTGCTTGTTCACCGCTCTACATTCTCAGCAGGCCCTGTGGTACCCCTTGATAGGGCCCGGGGGTTTTCATTTGGGCTGGGAAATTAACTCAGTGGCAAATGGGGTGAGCAGGGAGTGGGTGACCCTGAGGGTGGGGATCGGAGAACCCATGTGCAGCATAGAAGAGGAAGAGGCCCGAGGGTATCTGGTGTCTGTGTGGCTCTGCGTGGCTCAGGCTGAGGCTAGGAAAATGGTGGGCGGGGAGCCCTTCAAATCATGGGCGGGTGTTGCTGTTGGCAGTGGGAGCCATCCAAGGGTCTGGATGGGATCATGGTTGTGTTTGCTAAGAACGTTCTGGTTGTCGTGTGCAGAGTGATGACATGTGAGGGTCTGTAGCGATGCTGTGATGTGGGCAGGGATGGGGAGAAGGTACAGTGACAATGGGGATGCAATGGTGAGGTCCAGAGTCTGAGGAAGGTGCAGTGCAAGAAGTGATACGCATATGAGGAGTGAGTGTGAGGTGTTGGTCCCAGGGCCTTGGTACTGGCCATTAAGGGAGAAGATTGAGTCCATGTTTGTATATGGGAAGGATAATGTTGGTGACATGGGAGCGGCCCACAGAGGAGGGCGTTGGGCCCTGGTGTGTCTCTGCCCCCCTGCCCGTTGATGCTGTGGACTGACACAGAGGTCAGGTGAGGCATAGAAAAGAGCAGACACCAGTGGACCCAGGGCCTGAGATCTCCTCTGAGTTGGGAAGCTGGGGAGGAAGGGGAACAGGGGACAGACGGGAGTGCCTGAGGAGAGAAGCTGATCCTGGAATGAACTGTCCCCATTATGGCAGGGCTGTGTGACCTTTGAGGACGTGACCGTTGACTTCTCCCAGGAGGAGTGGGGGCTCCTCGATGAGGCTCAGAGGCTTCTGTACTGCGATGTGATGCTGGAGAACTTTGCCCTCATAGCCTCGCTGGGTAAGGACTTCACCCCCACTGGGTGTCCTGAGCTCGTTTCCGCCTGTCCCCTTTTCTTTCACTTGGCCAGCCCTACTGGCACCGCTTCCTTCCCCACTCTCCCAGGATATGTGCTGCAGAGGTTCCAGGCCCAGGCCCAGGCCCAGCGCAGTGTCCCAGCCCCTCCCGGAGCAGCGCCATTACCTGCCGCCGCAAAGCATTGTGGGGAGGGGCCGTGACTGAGGAGTCCTGCGGGTGGCCCAGCGGATCCCGGCTGCTCGGCCACTCCCTGCCTGGGTGATCACGTCCTCTAGCTAACGTTTCCTGGGGCCCGACCGCCGCAACCCTGATGCGGTTCCCGCTTGCCGTGACCACTGGGATGTTCCTGCCGTACCTCTCTTGTGTGTTCCTGTTGTACTCTTTCAGTCTCTTTCCTGTGGTCTGTCATCAGGTGGGTCACCTGGCCAGCTGCTGGCCACTTACCAACCCTGTCTTTCCTCAGGTCTGACGTCTTTCAGGTCTCACATGGTTGCCCAGCTGCAGATGGGGGCAGAGCCGTGGGTGCCTGACAGGGTGGACATGACGTCAGCCATGGCAAGAGGGGCGTACAGTGGACTTGTCTCCGGTGAGTGGGGGATGGGGGGGAAGGTGATGTCACTGCTGTCTTCCAATCTCACCTGCAGTGTTTCCTCGCATTCGTCATTATTTTGGTGCCGAAGCCATTGTCCACATCTCTCTTCTACCTTTCCTTTCGTCTTCTTGACACACGGCCCACTTGTTTCTGCTCTGACTTGCGTCCCCTGGCTCACTCTTTACACAGCTCCCTCTGAGACTGTCTCCAGCGTGGACCTACACTCACTATGTCATGATAGGTGCGTATTCCCTTTCGTAGTCCGTAAACATAAGCTGCTCAGTTGCAGTCAGACTTTCTTGGACCTGGACACTCTGTTCTGCCTGGGGCTCGTGTGTTAGCAGCGGCCAAGGCGCTGCCAGAAAGCCTTTAGAGAGGAGGGAGTTGGAGACCTTGCCTTCCGGCCCAAGACTAAGCCCCATCCTTGTGTCCTTAGGCCTGGCAATGCCTCCCCTGGTTTGTGACCCTGCCAGGCACGGTACTGCGGCAGACCATTCCTTACTCTGACATCAGGCTTCTCCGCCTGCCATCGGTCCCAAGGACTCATGCCAGGGTCAGGCATGATTTGTCATGGGCTGCTTCCTTCCCTCAGGGATCCTGGGAGCTTCACCAGCATTTCTCTGCTTTCAGGTTTTGGCCGTGGAGCGGAGGGTGAACGTAGTGTGTCTGCAGAAGGAGTGTCACAGGACGGGAAGCTCAAGGTGGCTCTGTGGAACTACTCCTGTGATGCACGTGGCCTGCACATGAAAGACGTTTTGCACCTGACCGAACACCTGGCAACACATCCCAGGCAGAAACCAGATGCGTGTGAGGCATCTGGGAGAGGGTCAGAGTCCAGTGCAAACCTTCAGCAGCAGCAGAACATAGACAAGCCTGTCAGAAGGGATGAGGATAGGGCCTCCCTTGTGAAGAGCTGCAGAGATGACACCTCAAAGGAGCCTTTCATAGTCAGGGAGGATGAGAAGGACTTCGGGGGCGGTGTGGCCACATCTGGCTTTCTCCAGCGCCAGGTCGTTCACAGAGTGGAGGAGCCTCCCCAGAGCACTGGCCTGCAATGTCGTAACAAGTGCGGTGAATTTGGGAACGCTTTTCATGACAAGCCCGCACCTGTTCGGCACCAGAGAACCCACACCGGGGAAAGGCCTTTTGAGTGCAACAAATGTGGGATATTCTTTAGCCATGCCTCCGGCCTCTCTCAGCACCAGAGAGATCACAACAGAGGAAAGCCTTATGAGTGCTGCGAATGTGGCAAGTTCTTCAGCCGACACTCTAGTCTCATGAGACATCAGAGAGTTCACACTGGGGAAAGCCCTTATGTGTGCAGCGAATGTGGGAAATTCTTTAGCCAAAGCTCCAACCTCATTCAGCATAAGAGGGTGCACACTGGAGAGAAGCCTTATGAGTGCCGTGAGTGTGGGAAGTTCTTCAGCCAGCGCTCCAACCTCATTCATCATAAGAAGGTCCATACGGGCAAAAGCGCTCATAAGTGCAGAGAGTGTGGGAAATGTTTCACCTGCAACTCCAGCCTCATTAAGCACTGGAGGGTTCACACTGGAGAAAGACCTTATAAGTGCCATGAATGTGGGAAATTCTTCAGCCGCATCGCCAGTCTCATCCAACATCAGATCGTCCACACTGGTGAACGGCCTTACAGGTGCAGAGAATGTGGGAAAGCCTTCATCTGGTGCTCTGACCTCATGAAGCATCAGAGAGTCCACACTGGGGAGCGGCCTTATGAGTGCAGCGAATGTGGGAAATTGTTTAGCCAGAGCTCTACCCTCCATAGCCATCGGAGACTTCACACAGGGGAACGGCCTTATCAGTGCCCCGAATGTGGGAAATTCTTTAACCAAAGCTCCAGCCTCAATAACCATCGGAGGCTTCACACCAGTGAGCGGCCTTATGAATGCCTCGAATGTGGGAAAACCTTCAGGCAGAGGTCTAATCTGAGGCAACACCAGAAGATTCACAAACCAGACAGGCCATATAAGTGTGGTGAATGTGGAAAAGCCTTCAGCCAGAGGCCTACCCTCGTCCGGCACCAGAAAATTCACACGAGAGAAAGGAGTGCAGTGAGTGTGCACCCTCTTCCAGCACAACGATGTGCACAGGTGATGAGCTCTGAGAACAGTCTTTAGGAGGGGGCCATCAGCCAGAGGGTGAACCTTGTTCATCCCAGTGTCCACAATGGGCAGAGTCCCTATGAATGCTAGTTCTGCCTGAAGCTTTCTGGAACAAAGCAGCATTTTCCTCACCATGGACTCTACCAGAGCTTTGCCACTGCGAGTGTCTGAGGTAGAAGCCATCGAGCTCTGGCAGGTCTCCAAGAATATGTGTCAGCCAGTCCCTGTGTTCGGATCTCTTTCTTTTCTGAGAGGGAATCCCAAGTAGCCTGAGGCCAAAGGAAGATGTCATTCCTTCCCTCTGTGATCAGCGTAGCTATGGACATGACCCATATCTTTGACTGTGAAGACCTGAGCTGGGTTCTGCTGGCGGCTTGCAGAGAAGGTTTCCCTTCTTTCAAAGACGTGGCAGATCTCATACGATGCTCATGATGGATTTATGCAGACTCCACATTACCCATCCCAACAAGCACCTACTTTACATTGCCTTAATGATCAAGCCACCTTTAATCCGATATGTTTTGATCACTGGGAAGTGGGTTGAGAACGCAGTTGAGGTCTACCAAACGAAAAGGGTTTCTAAGTGTATTGCCTCGGACAAAGAGCAGGATGGTGGAGAATAGCTCTCGGTCCAGATTTGGCCTCCTTTGTGTTGCTATTCAAGGTCTCCTGGGAAAGATGGTAGGACTTTGTGGGCCTAATGTTGGGATCTGAGTGGCATGAATTTTTGTGAGCCAGGGATGACCCTGAGGACGGGGCAGTTGTGACAACCTCCTCTGCATCTGGGAGTGGCATGAATAGAGCCTTGTGTTTCCATGGGATGCCTCATGTTCCCTAGCACTGTTAAGTAGACACTGTTTACCTGACACTTGCCAAGGAGCCATTTATCTTGAAGTTTAGCCTCTGGTAGACGGGTGTCCTAACTGTCGGATTTACTGGCCCAGTTGAGACCATAATTTGTATGGAAACACTGGGCGTGACAGTAGAATAGGCAAGTCTGGAGCAAGCTAGAGGGAATGTGCCTGTTCTGAAAGTACATCCACAAATGTTCCTTTGAATATGACTGTGCAGGGTTCAGGCTTTGCAGAAATTCTCAGGACCTCCAGACCTCTGTCCTATGACTTAGGTCACTGACAGAGCAAATATCTAAAGGTTTTGTGGGTACCAAGACTCCCTGCACTTTTCGTGCCACAGCTGTTGCTGCTTTGGTGGGAGAATGGGGCTGAGAGAAGACAGATCCTGTACTCCAGGGGTGTAGCATTTGTCACATATCCCTTTTTGCTGCCAAGGCATGAGAGAGAGAGAGAGAGTCCATGTAGGATTGCCAAATCCTCTAATTTCTGACATGAACGGGAGATCAGATTTTTATGTGTAACAATTTCTTTAAATGCTTTGTTGAGATACAGTTGTCATGCAACAGTCGTACGTATTTGATGTGCACTGTTTAAGAAGTTTTTCAGTATGTATACACTCAGGGAACCAACACAGAACCATGACAATGGACCTATCCGTCACCCACAAAGCTACCTCATGCCCTTTACTATCCCTTCTTGCCTTCCTAGTAAACCATTGATTTCCTTTTCTTTCTTTCTTCTTTTTTAACTACAGATTTGTTTGCCTTTCTTAGAATTTTATACAACTGGAATCATAAAGCATTTATACCTTATTTTTGGTCTATTTTCTTTCACAATGTAATCATCTGGAGAAGTATCCATGGTGTATGTATGAACAGGTCATTCTTTTTGCTGTTGTGTAGTGCTCTCGAATGAATCCATCACAATTTTTTATGCTTTATTTTTTAAATTAAAAAATCTCTGGCAAAATACACATAACATAAAATTTACCATCCAGACCATCTCTAAGTGCATAGTTCAGGAGTATTAAGTGCATTCATTTTGTACAGCCATCACCACCATTCACATCCCGAGCTCTTTTCATCTTGCAAAACCAAAAGTCTATAGCCATTAAACAATAACTTCAAAGTCTCTCCCGCCCGCCAAGCCCCTGGAAACTGCCCTTCTACTTTCTGTCTCTCTGAACTTGACTACTTCAGGTACCTCCTATGAAGAGTCATCTAGTATTTGTCTTTTTGTGGCTGGTTTATTTCACTTAGCATAATGTCCTCAAGGTTCATCCCTGTTTTATGCCATGTGTCAGAATTTCCTTTCTTTTTAAGGCTGAATTATATGCCATTGTATTTCTGTGCCATATTTTGCTTATTCACTCATCTGTCAATGGTTATTTGGTTTACTTCCACCTTTTAGCTGTTGTGAACCATACAGCTATGAACATGGGTGTACAAATATCTCTTTGAGACCCTGCTTTCTATTGTTGTTTTATTTTTTAAGATTGTATTTATTTGAGAGTAAGCAAACAGGAGAGAAAGACAGGAGTAGGGTGAGGGGCAGTGGGAGAAGCTGACTCCCTGCTGAGCAGGGAGCCCAGTGTGGGTCTCCGCTCTGGGATTCCGGGATCATGACCTGAGGTGAAGGCAGACAGTTAACTAACTGAGTCACCCAGGCACACCCTCGCTTTCTTTACAGGTATATCTGGAAGTGGAATTCCTGGCTCATATGGTAATTAAATTTTTAATTTTTTGAGGAACCTCCATACTGTTTCCCACAGTTGCTCTATCATTTTATATTCCTACCAATGATTCTGATTTTTCCACATCGTCAGCAACTCTTGTTTTATCTTTAAAAACATTGTTTTAAATGCTTGAGTAGTATCTGTCCTGATAGATATAGTTTCCTTCTGTCCTAGCTTATTGAATGTTTTTATCATGAAAGGATGTTGGATTTTTCAAATGCTTTCTTTGCATTAGTTGATAGGGTCCTATGGTTTTTCCTTCCATTAATGTGTATTACACCGATTTTCATATGTTGAAACTTCCTTGCATTCCAAGAATAAATCCCACTTAAACATGGTATATAATCCTTTCAGTATGCTGCTAAATTCTCTTTACTAGTATTTTGTTTGCTAGTATTTTGTTAAAGATATTTGTACCAATGTTCATAAGTAATATTGGTCTGTACTTTCCTTGTGTATCATTTTCTGGCTTTGGTATCAGGGCAAATGAATTAGGAATTTTTCTCTCCTCTTCCAAGATTTTGGAAAATCCTAACAAACATTAGTGCTATTTCTTTAATGTGTATAATTCCCCAATAAAGTCACTGGGTCCAGAGCTTTGTTGTGGGGAGGTTTTGGGTTTTTTATTTATTATACTTACTAATTATAAGTTTATTCAGATATTCTCTTCATGGTTCAGTATTGATAGGATTTGTGTTTCTAAGGATTGTCTATTTCATCTAGGTTCCATTGTGTGTGTGTGTGTGTGTGTGTATGATTGTTCGTAGTACACTCATAATCTTTTTTATTTCTGTAGAATTGGTAGTAATGTCTCCACTTATATTTCTGATTCTAGTAATTTGAGTCTTCTCTCTTCTTTTAGTCACTGTAGCTAAAGATTGGTCAATTCTGTTAATCTTGATGAAAAACCGTCTTTTGGATTTGTTTGTTTTTCTCTATTGTTTTTCTATTCTCTATTTTTAAAATCTCTCATTTAGTATTTCTTAACTTTGCCTAACTCTTGGTTTAGTTCTTTTTCTAGTTCTCTAAGTTGCAAAGTAAGGTTGTTGATTTGAGATCTTTTTTAATATAAGCCTTCTTCCTTCCCTCCCTCCCTCCCTCCCTTCCTGTGCACGTGCCCATATGGGCAGGGGGTGGAGGGCCAGAAAGAGAGGAAGAGAATCTTAAGCAGACTGTGCATTGAGCGTAAGCTTGACCTGGGGCTTGATCTCACAATCCTGAGATCATGACCTGAGCCAAAATCAAGAGTTGGACACTTAAAAGACCGAACCACCCAGGTGCCCTGTGTTTTTGTTTTCTTTCATCTTGGGTATTTTCTAATATTCCTTGTGATTTCTCCTTTGTTCCATTGATTGTTTAAGCATGTATTATTTAATTTCCACAAATATGTGAATTTTCTAATTTGCCTTTTGTCGGTTTCTAACTTCATCCTTTTGAGATTAAATAGTTTGTATAATATCTTTTGAAACCTATTAAGCTTTAATATGTGACCTAATGTGGTCTATCATGGAAATGTCCCATATGCACTTGAGAACAATGTTTTCTCTTGATGGTGGCTAGAGTATTGTGTACATTTCTGTTAGATCTGATTGGTTTATTTGTGTTGTTCAAGACCTTTATTTTCTTAATGACTTTTTTCCATTATTGAGAGCAGGGTATTGAAGTCTCCAACTAATGTAAAACTGTTTTTTCCTGTCAATTTTTGAGTTATATATTTTCTTGGTCTGTTAATAGTTTTATAAATGTTTATCATTGTTATACCTTTTGCCAGATAAAACCTTTTATTAGGATCGAAAAACGTCCAAATTTATGTTGTAAACTTACTTGTATGGAATGTTTTTCCATCCTTTCACTTTCCACCTACTTGTGTCTTTGGCTGTAAAGTTAGTCTCCGTAGACAGCATATAGTTAGATAATTTTATAAGCATCCATTGTGTCAGTCTGTGTCTTTTGATGGAGAGTTTAATCTATTTACATTGACATCATTATGATAAGGGATTTACTTCTGTGATTTTGCTATTTGTTTTCTCTATGGATTTTTTGTCCTCCATTTCCTATATTACTTTTTTTTTTAAATGTGAAATATTTTAATTCCCTTCTCATTTCCTTTTGTGTATATTCTATCGCTATTTTCTTTGTGGTTACCATGGTGATTATCTTGAATATTCAAAAATTATTGACACTCTGGGGTGCCTGGGTGGCTCAGTGGGTTAAAGCCTCTGCCTTCGGCTCAGGTCATGGTCCCAGGGTCCTGGGACCGAGCCCCACATCAGGCTTTCTGCTCAATGGGGAGCCTGCTTCCCTTCTTCTCTCTCTGCCTGCCTCTCTGCCTACTTGTGATCTCTGTCTGTCAAATAAGTAAATAAAATCTTCAAAAAAATATTTTAAAAATTAATTTAATTCATTTTTTAAAACTAATGTAATAGGAAACAACTGTCCTTGCCCCTCCAAGCCTGAGGAAAGGAGGGACAGGTGGCGGAAAGCTGGCCGCACCAGCAGACACTCAGGCCACTTGAGGAACAGACAGCTCTGGGTGGGCCACAGCTCTCAGAGGGAGCCCACTGCCACCGATGAGGTTTGCACGTCCATGCGACAAGCCCACTGGGGCCACCCTCAGCTCTTTTGTTTGCTGAGCAAAACACTACCTACTCTGGGGCACCAGAATTCTGTCTGCCTTCGGCTCAGGTCATGATCATGGGGTCCTGTGATCAAACCCCATATCAGGCTCCGTGCTCAGTGGGGAGCCTGCTTCTCCCTTTGCCTGCAGCTCTCCCTGCTTCTGCTCGTGCTCTCTCTCTCTCTGTCAAATAAATAAATAAAATCTTGAAAAAAAAAAAAACCAACTACCTACTCTCAGAAACAGGAGAAAAAGTTGGTCTGACTTAGGAAACTCTGCACTCCAAACACTTACTTGTAAACAATTCATTTGGAATGTTGTGCACAGTTCAAACAAATCTAAATGGATAGCAATACAACTAAATTCTAAATGACACCTGTATTCGTTTCCTGAAGGTGCCATAAAAATCACAAACTTGGGAGCTTATGATCACAGATTCATGATCTCAGACGCCCAAAGTCAGGGGCTTTGCTTCCTCCAGAAGCTCTAGGGCAGAATCCCTCCCTGCCTCTCCCAGCTTGTGGGGGTACCAGTGTTCCTTGGCTGATAGTTTTGTAACTCCCCATCTCTACCTCAGTCTTCAAATGGCCTTC